TTTAATCATATAATATAAAATAAGAATAATTTATATTAAATTTATAAACTTATGTTAGAATTAAATTTATATTAAATATGTATTTATATTAAATTATATGGTTATATGTAAATTTAATTTAAGTTAAAAATTAAATTTAAAATTTGAAAAATATTTAAAATTAAAATTATCATATTTTTATAAGTGTAAATTCTTATAATTATGAGATTTAGAATTTTTTCTTTTATACGAGAATTTAAAATAATTTTTTACTTAATTATATAAATTTTATGTTTCATAGTTTTTTTAATTTAATTTTTTGTATCAAAATTTGAATGATAACATTATTATTATGTTAATTTTATTAAAATTTAATAATATTTATTATTTATTACATCATTTGGTTCGACCCACCCCGGTTAGACCGATTGAACCGGTCGAACCGTGAACCTCTCCTTCTTTCGGTTCGTTGTCCGGTCCGGTTTTCACAACCTTGGAAAATCATGGCTTTGTAATACTTGAAAGATTAAAAGGTAATCAAAAGATTAAAAAGTATGCATATTTAGGGGTGTCAAAATTTGATATGATTCTAAACCTGGCCCAAATCCGACCTAAAAATTTTTGGGTTCTGGTCAACCAGTTTGATATACAGGTTGGGTTCGGGTTTGTAATTCCAATCGTTTGTAAAATTTCAATCGCGTTAGGCATCAGACAATGTCATCTTTATGCTCAGGCTGAGACTGATCACTCTCTGAGTTATCCACTTTCAATGATATATTTTTACTTCCACTTCTCACCTGCATCAAGATCTGTCTTTGAGCTAGTCCTTGCTCACAAGCAATTAGAGATCCAAGAAGAATGTCAATAGAATAAACATTTAAGTCCTTTGATTAGTTATAGTAGTTATCTTTGCATCATAAATAGTATGCAAACAATAAAGAATTTTATCACTTTTTTAGCATTCGTTAATTCTCTACCTAAGGTATACAATGAGGTGACAATTTGTGTGAAATGAGTATACATATCAGTGATAGATTCATTCAGTTTTATATGAAATAATTCATAATCATGTAGAAAAAAATTCAATATATATATTATTTCACCTTGTTAGTCCCTTCATATGTGATACAAAGTCAATCCCAAATTTTTTTCCAATTCTATAGGTAGAGACACATATAAAGTTTTCAAACTTAAGAGCAAAAAAAAAAAAAAAAAAACAATTAAAATATTTAGTGTTTAACTGAGCTATGTCTTTTCTTCTACAGTCCAGTCAGTAAACAGTGTTTTAGTTCCAACACCATCTATAATTCTAGTTGGTCTAGTGTAGCCTTAATATACTAAAATTCACATGTGATAGTCAAGTGATTGAAGAAAAGTAGACATGCATATTTTTCAAAAATCGAAAGGGATGTTATCAAATAATATGGGTCTAATGATCGAATATCCTTCAGGTGTATTACAATTTCCAAAAGTAGTCATAATCGTTTTCAAAAAGTTGTATAAATCTTAATTTTTGAAAGTTGGTTCTAATACCACATAAAAGTACGTATAGGTTATTAGAGCTATCACAATTGTCTCAATGCTAACCAAGAGGGGGTTGAATTGGTAATTTAAAAAAGTATTGAAAAATTATAGAAAACCATTCTTATGATTTAAACAGAATGAAAATTTATTAAAATAAACTTTTAAACCACAAAATTAAAAGTGTAGAAAATAAAAAATATGGCAAAAATAAAATAAAATAAAATAAAATAAAATAAAAATTTATAGTGGTTTAGTCCAACTAGACCTACGTCCACTCCCTGAAGACTCCCTCTTCAAGTATTGCATTATACCAAAGTGACTCTCTTTTTGCTCCCACAACAAGATGAAAAAACCCTTATAATTATTATATCTTCCACCAAACCCTGATGCAGTAGAGTACCATCTTCCTTTCACACCCTCTTGGTGTCAACAGAGAATTGTCGTACTTTCGCACCCTCCTAGGGGGATATACCTTATTTCTTTCTAGTGATATCACTCTCTTGTATTTTTATTCTTTTATAAATTCAATAAAATTGAGTTTTCTTGCCATGTATTATATGTCTCGCTAAATCTCTTATTTTGAATTGATGATGCAAAGAATATGTTAAATACTAATGAAGACTCTTATTTTTAAATATCTAATGATATTTTCACTATTATCCTGTTCTTTATTTCATACACATAGTGATCATATGAGTAATTAAAGTATAGTGTGATGTATAGCTTCGATGGAAGAATGCAAGAATATAACCATGAACATTAAAATAGAATATTGGCATGCCTAAATATAAGATGTTAAATATTCTAACTTCTTAAGGAGATGTTATAATTATAGGAAGTCAGTAGATATCCTTTTCACACCTATAAACTTGATAAATGTCTAGGGATACATATAAATTGAATCATATTACCATGAAGAGTCTAATTAGAAAAAAATATAAATTTTTATTCATCAATCAAAATATATTTTTATTAAATATTGTATCTATTATTCTACCATTTTATTCAGTGGTAAAACCTCCAATTTTTTTTTATTTCAGAAGGATAATTCATACAATTAGAGTAAACGACATATTTTATTATAGTAAACATAATACTTTCTCATAGGTTTGACACACTACTCTATCACTTTAATACTTTATTTGATACGTATACTTGCGTATATTACGTAGGGTTTTGATATTACATATAAAAAAAAAAAACAAAGCATTATTTAGGATTGATATTAGATAGTAACTTTTAACCTTTAGCAGTAAGTTGCTCCGCGAGACAGTTTATTATCATTGATCGGGACAGGAAGCCGCGAAGAAAGGAGGAAGCGTACATTGTGAAAATCGAATCATACACAATGGAGCAAATGCAGGCCAATGGGAAATTGGACGGGCTCGGAGATCCTTTGTGTGGTTGCCACGTGTGGTTGCTCTCTGATGTATGTAATGTCTGAGATTCAGAAAAGAGTAAAATAATTCCTATTACAAAGCTACCAAAGATAATCAATTCTAGGTGAATACATGCAAAAAAAAGTAAGAGGCCAAAAACCTTTAGGGATTTTAATTCCCTAATTATTTACAAACCAAGTTGATGTTTTGAGATGATCAACCTCACTAGAGCATAAGAGGGTAAGAAGATCTCATCATTTACTCATTAAAAACACTACAAAAGAGGAAAATATACTTAAGAATAATCGAAAAGATCAAGAAATTGAAATAATAATCATGACACATTTCGGTGCAAGAGAACGCCAATATAACAAACAATCGCACAACAAAAAAGCTGCCCAGCCGAAGCAATTCCAAAAAACCCACCAAATTCCTTTGAATTCGATCGACAAGGAGGCTGAAAAATGGGACTTTGAACATAAAAAGCATCAAAATCTTACTCAAGGTAAGTACGAGCCAAAAAAAATAAAGTAAAAGAGAAAGTGCAGGACATGAGCAAATGATGTGAGATTTGTAGCAGTAAATAAGGAGAACCAGAGCAAACCTGTATTCGATTAAGCCGAGATTTGATTTGCGATTCGATTATTTCTACCCCGCCTCGACTTGGGTGGGTGGAGAGAGAGAGAGAGAGAGAGAGAGAGAGAGAGAGAGAGAGAGAGAGATCAGAGTTCGTAGTTTTACTTCCCCGCAGACAGATTCAAGACAAGCTCAGACATGTTACGTACGAAGCAGTTAACTATTTATTGTTAGCAATTCCAAAAAAAATTTATAGATGTTTTCAATAACTCCCTTTCTTAATTTAATTCATATAATGGTCATGTGTGTAATTAATATCTAGTATGATGTATTAACTCGGTGAAGGAATATTATAATAATTAAGATTATTAAAATGGAATGTTGGCATACTTAAATATAAGATGATAAATCTTTTATGTTCTATGGAGAAATTATAATTATAGGAAAGCCATAAATCTCCTTTTTTACCTCTATAAGTTCGATATAAATCTAAGGATATATACTTTGATACACATCTAAAAATTGAGTGTCTCATTAGGAAAACTATATTGTCTTACATTCATTAGTCTAAAATATTTTATTTATATTAGTATTTTTTATCTTGCAAGTCTTCATCTATTCAGAAGGATATCTCATGCATCTATATTAGACAGTGGTAGTTTAATTGCAATTAAGCAGAATACTTTTTTGTGGGATTGTCACTCTTATCTATTACTTAATTACTTGATTAACACATATAATTATGTATCTAGTGGCTATTATTATTTTTATATTAAAGAAAATCGAAACATAGTCATATTGTATGCTAGCTTTCTGTGTAGCTCACTGTTACCTGCCAACAAGCCCCCATTAACATTCAAAAAAGCCTTTCACATATAATTGTCCAAAAAAAAAAAAAAAACTAATGATTTGGTACTCGTAATATTATGTATATAAATATAAGAATTAAATACATAATATTTAATTTTTTTTTTTAAAAAAAAATTTTAATTGGGTTTTTTTTTTTTGGAATTGCTGACAATAAATAGTTAACTGCTTCGTACGTAACATGTCTGAGCTTGTCTTGAATCCGGCCGCGGGGAAGTAAAACTGCGAACTCTGAGATCTCTCTCTCTCTCCCTCGCTCCTCTTACTCTTTCTCTCTCTTTCTCTGTGTCGCTCCCCCCAAGTCGAGGCGGGGTAGAAATAATCGAATCGCGAATCCAATCTGGTCTTAATCGAATACAGGTTTGCTCTGATTCTCCTTAGTTACTGCTACAAATCTCACATCATTTGCTCATTTCTATACTCTTTTTTTTTTTTTTTTTTTTTTGTGTTTGGCTCGTACTTACCACGAGTAAGATTTTGATGCTATTTCTGTTCAAAATCCCATTTTTCAGCCTCCATGGCGATCGAATTCAAAGGGCTTTTGTTGGTTTTTTGGATTTGCTTCGGCTGAGCAGCTTTTTTGTTGTGCGATTGTTTGTTATATTGGCGTTCTCTTGCAGTGAAATGCGTCATGATTATTCTTTCAGTTTTTTTATCCTTCCGATTATTCTTAAGTATCTTTGCCTCTTTTGTAGTGTTTTTAATGAGTAAATGATGAGATCGTCTTACCCTCTTATGCTCTAGTGAGGTTGATCGTCTGAAAACATCAACTTGGTTCGTAAATAATTAGGGAATTGAAATCCCTAAAGGTTTTTTGCCTCTTACGTTTTTCTTGCATTTATTCGCCTGGAATTGATTTTCTTTGGTAGCCTCGTAATAGGAATTGTTTTTCTTTTTTTCTGAATCTCAGACATTGCATACATCAGAGAGCAAATCTCAGTGAATATCAACGAAGTTAGCTCCCTACATACAATTTAAAGGCGGCTGCTAATTCACTGCTCACTTTTATCGTCTGGAAGTAATCGATCAATTCATCTGTTGAAAAGGATCTTCTTATTTGGGAAAAATTAGTTGATATAGCTTTTCCTGCTCTAGGGGAAATGGAACCCAAGTCTATGTCAGTCGGAAAGAGGGATACTGTAAGGCTGGGGAAGGAAAGCCAGTTGGAAGAGCCCTTCTGCTCACATGTGGAGAAGGATGAGAACAGATTCTTAGGAACTCAAGATGAGCAATCTCTTGTTTTGGAGAAAGAAGGGGAGGCAAGCGGCATGGGTTTATCAAAAGAAGCGCCAGTTTCTACTGAGGACAATAAAGGAACTACCGGGGTCTACAGATACAGCACCAAAAAACATAAATTTGTATCTTCGACTATACAAGGATTTGATGTCCAAAGGAAGGATAAGGCTCGAGAAAGAAGGCTCAATCGGCAGGAAAGAATTGAGCTTGGCCGAAAGTTTCAAGAGGCTGTGAGCATTTTTGACTGGGATGTTGCACAGAGACTCATTATGGGGGTGGACATACAAATACTCAATGATGCACTTTGCATTGCTCTGGATTCAATCTGGTTCTTGAGCACTAGACAGGAGCTAAATGAGATCACTCGGCTCATAAATTTGATAATCTCTAATGGTGCTCATGACTTCACTAGGGCGGTTTTACGGACATCCTTTCTTGCATCTTGTGTGTCTGCTTGCAAAAGCAGTAAAATGAGTTCTTTAGATACTCAGGCCATTATGGCCCATAGGTAATCCTTAATCATTTATACTTTAATTCATGAAGCTTATTAAAAATCTATAAAACCTATTGCTTTCTTTTTTATTATGTCCTGAAAATCATGCTTTTGTAACATGGACATCTCGTTTTTTTCCATCATTGTTCTTATGAAAGGGGAAAGGGTTTTCTCCGTCCATATTGACTTTTGTCTTCTCTTTTTGTAGAATTTCAGTCAAATATAAAAGAAGGTGAAGTGTTTAATGCTATTGTGAATTTCTTATAGTTATTATTCATGTTTTCAGGATGGGTATTATTAGTATGATTTGACCTCACTTAGCTTTATTGTTAACATTTTTCTCTTTTTCACCTTTATTAGGTTGCATGAACGGCTTCAAGAGTGCAGTGGTGATGAGATTTTGAAAGCAGAAGCAAGTGTTAAAGTTCAAAAGTTTACAGAATGGGCTATGAGATGCATTGGTATCCATTCTCGTGGGCAAGACAGTGTAAATAATGGGGAATGCAAATCACATTTTGAGATTCAGATCCAGTTGTCAGCATTCAGAAGCTTTCTAGACCTTGCAGGGGATCAGCTCACTGGAAAGGACTTCACCGAGGCTTTTGATGCAGCTTGTTTCCCGCTTACTCTGTTCTCAAGTTCATTTGAAACAGGCTGGGCTTCTACAACCTCGGCAGCCACGGTGAGAGGAATGCTGGGAATGTTGGTTGAGGGTGGTGCAGATAATGTCAACCATTGCTTATTAGAAGCCTCTCGTTTTGGTAGCACAGAGCTAGTTCAAATTTTGTTGCAGGTAAATGCTATAGTATGTAAATATGTGCATCTGCTCATGCCAGCAAATTTTGGTGATCTCTTTAATGGCCATTTTTTTCTTCAAATGTTTAATATTATCTGTAATGCCTACCTGATCTCTCTAGTTCTTTGATTTGAAACTTTCCTCTGCTCGTCTTTCTCTATATAGATCTCTTCCCTCTCAGACTGCTTGCCTGCCACAGGTAGAAAGATCTATCATTGAGGTGTTGGTGATTTCTCATTTATAGAGTGCTTTTTACGTTGAAAGAAACATCAAACAAGTAGGCTAATTGTTGCAAAAGGCATAGGATGGGTAACCTGCAATACATGTGTAAGGATTAGGCGGGAGTGGAATAAGTTCTGAGAATAAAGTTGAGATAACCAGATGGCTGGGAAAGAAAAATTAAGGCTGTTTTATGGTTGATTTGAGGTTTGGTCATTGTGATACACTACACTTTTATAAGAAAAATGAAGGAATTGGTGAAACCACAATTAATATCAGCAGATTTTTGTATCAACGGGACGTGTGTGCGCTAGAATCTAATGTCAAATGCACTCTTAGCAAGAAAAAGCTTGAAAAAAAATTTAATCAACTCTAAATAACTTTGATATTGTTTGATGATAATACTACATATTTCATATTTTTCTTGAGCCTAGAAATGAAAAAGAGAATGGATTTCACTATTGGCTCACTAAGAAAGTTTTAATTCTTGATCCTGCTTTTACTGATAAGTAGCAAACCTGTATGAAGCCCTATGCCCCACATACCCCCCCACATCACTCTTTTCTTCCATTGACTACACTTATTTATGATATATTATTTATTGATGTAAGACTTTAAAAAGTTAATATTGAGAGTGAAGCTTTCAGATCTATTTTGTAAAAAAATGTTCATAAATTGTTATATGCATATTCTTATGAAATTATCAATAAAGATGTAGAGCTTTCTGTAGCAATGCTATGTCACTTTACTGTGCACTTGCGTGATCTGTCCCTGCTCCTTATAAAATATTTTTGTTTCAAGTAGGAACAGGGGAGGTGAGGCAGTAGCATTGGTGATAGGCATTGGTATTGGTGTTTCTTTGTAAGGTGATGAGCATTGGTATTGGTGTTTCTTTGTAAGGTGATGGGCAACCAACTCCCGTATATCTGTCCCCGATCTCCTACCGTCGAGCTCCCTCTCCCTCTTTCTGTATATATATATATATATATATATATATATAATGAAATAAAAAAAGAGAAGAAATATAACTAAGAGATTTTGAAATAAGTACCAAAACAAGAGAAATTTGAAGGAAATCCCGGGTTTGATTCGGTCTCCCTAAACTCTCGGTTGTCAATCTGATCCAGCTGAGTGGAAAGAAGACTGAAAGCCCAATTTCGGGATCCAACAACGTCCTAAAGCCCTCGATAATTGATTATCTTTTCAGCTGGACAGATTGAAAGGGTGAGTGCTCTCCCCAACCTCTCTTCGCAGGGAAAGCGTCGGAAGGCTGCTGATTTTCAAGGGGAGTAAAAATATTTTTTAAAATAAAATTAAACCTCTTAATTAATAGGTCGTGTGCAACAAGAAAGGCTTGAAACCAATTCAGAGACCCAACAAAGTCTCGATGCCCTCGACCGTCGATTATCTTTCTAGTTGGGCGGACTGGAAAGGGCAAGTGCCCTCCCCATCCTCCTCTCATGGAGAGGAGAAATTATTAGGTCCGGTCATTGAACCTAATTTTGCGTTTGGAACCCTGCGCTTTTCATGCGCTTTTGAAGTATTTTTGCAAAAGGACAGCTAATATGCGCTTTTACTGTGCATATTAGCTGCCCTTTTACCGAGTATTTGAAAAACGCAGCAAAAGGGCACCAAATACACAATGAGTGAGATTTTGTTGCGCTTTGCTACACTTTTGATGAATTTTTTCAAATACTCAACAAAAAGCAGTTAATATGCAATTACAAGCGCATATTAGTTGTCCTTTTGCAAAAATACATCAAAAGCGCATGAAAAGCCCACGGGTTCCGAATGAAGATTTAGGTCCGTTGACCGGACCTAATAAGAAACTGGATTATGAGTACTACTCTGAGCCAATTAATTTTGAAACTACCGCAATCATATCATGAATCTCTCATATCGGAAGGGATCAGTAATATTACCAAATAGGAATTGATACACAACAAATTGGAAGGGTTTAATATATCTTTCATATTCCGAGTTCAGGAAACATATACAACAGAACATTTGACTTTTAATTGTCATTTGATGTCTTGCAACAAAGAACTTCTCTAGGTTCCCTTATGAAAGCTCTTCGAAAAATCTTTTTCTATGTGGAGATCAGCTTAGATATTCTTTTTATTGATGGACATGTGTCAAGACTTAGCATCTCTCAGGATCTTTGTAGAACTGAACAAGACCCTTCGAACCTTGTAGTTATTCAGATGGATCTAGCCATCTATGCATGTGCAGAGATTATAAGAATTACAAGAAATCTTAGTGAGCAATTGTGTTTAACAATAAAGTGAATCACAAATTGATTTGAAAAATTAATAATTCTCATAATTCATTAAGATCTTATACTCAAAGAAATTGTGAAATTATTTAGGCCACACTCGCTTACGGGTAACAACAAATGACTTGTAATGAATGTAATTTGTTGTGCTGTTATACGGGCAATATCACCAAACTTGTGAGCAGTAAACTACAATTCACCTGTAAATGGGAGTAGAGAATTTGTAGTGTCCAATGATTATCTTATGGACATGGACAAGAAGCTCGTACAAAACAAACCAGCATGTCTAGGGATAGTAGTGGGGAACATCTAATGCCTGCTACACTTCATCTATGAGTAGGAGCAGGGGATCAGTAGTGCACACAATCAGCCTGTAAGCAACAATAGGAGATTCATATCAAATGGTTTAACTCATAAGCCAGAACACAATTTCCTAGTGCCTACTGAATAAGCATTTTCTAAATGCCATCGGATCCGTAACACTTGTACGAGTGGACAATAAATCCAATCTATATATTAAAATAAATCCTGCATGTGCTCCGATCAACCTGTTAAAGTTAAAACACAAATGTATAAGAATGCAGTGCATGATCAAATACTCACTAATATAACATGCTATTTTCAAACTAAATAAAACCCGCATGTGCTTTGATCGCCACATATGATTCCTAAATCCAACGGTCTGAAAATGCTGCGCGGGTCAAATATTTAAGTCTCATTCTCCTCAATGAGAGCACTGGAGTCGATCTGACTTGAATCATAAAAATACTTCTCAAATTTCTAAGAAATACAAGTGACTTTAACGTCACCCTAATGATGGACGTGTTAATGGAAAATCTCAATCAGAGTGGTTAAATCTCAAATCAATAAAAATCTAAATCCTTAAAATGAAGTCTATCATCTAAAAAAATTTAAAACTTAAAATCATCTACCTCCCACAACTATTTGTCGAGGGTGATAAATTTGAAATTGATCTTAACTTATAAAGAGCGAATGTCATGTCGGGTGTATCACTAAGATTCATGCTCAAATATTCTCTTACCAGCAGGGACGTTGCATGTGCCCTATGATTGGGTGGTTTTGCTACAAGATGACCATTATATTACGATCACGACCGAAACTCATATGTTCCCTAACGGTGTCAGACCCTTGAGTAATGAATCATAGGGTATATTCGATAGGGATAAAACTCTCTATCAGCTAAGGTGGATTCATATCTATCTCCTTAGACAAACACCACCCTAGATTTACAAGGTATTCGTGGACGAAGCAACCTATGGCTGCTTATAAGGTACCTTCTGTCAGGCTGGTTCGACTATCTCCTCTGATTAAGTAGACCAGGGACTATGATAGTTCGGAACGACAGAACCATGGGATCTTGATCGGGCTTGTCTTAATTCCCCCTATCACCTACTTTTAAGTTTATGTTGATAAACTTTAAAGTCTCAAACTCCAAAATTCATATCCCAAATTCAAACCCTAAAACTATTGCTATTATACCCTGGATTTATGACCTATGCGATCTCTTTAATGACTAGCCTTAATCAAAAGTTCTCTCTCATTATCGGGAGGAGTAATTAACTATAGGGGCTTGCGCCTATAGGAAACCTAAACTCATATCATAAGGTCCTCACAAAATGAGGGCGAAATCTCTGCGTAGTGTCTTATCTAAAACCCAATATGCCTTCTAAAAATTCACTAGGAACCTAAATCTTGTTAAAACTCTCTGTCGTCATAAATAACAAGAAAAGTGACAGTGTAAAGTGGCTGGGGCGCAACGAATTTTCGGAGCCCACAATTATCTTGTCCAAAGCCTAGGTAAAAATCACTAGAGGCAGGTTTCTTTGAAGCTTGCCATGGAAACTCATCACAGAGCACTCATTGGTAGGACAATAGTTAATGACAAAAACTTGGAAAATAGAAGACATTGTTTAGGATTATAAGATTTTTGTTACTGAATTGTGATAAAAAGCATTCATGTTAAGATTGCAATATAGACATAAAAAGTTGTCATCACTGCATCAATTACAGGAATTTAAACAAATTAAATGTAGAAGATACTATGATAATATGGTAAGAATAAATTGATTGCTAGAAATTTAAACAAAAGTTATAATGTTTTTTTAAATATAGTGGTTTAGAGCTGTATGGAATGTGTCAAGCTTTTGTCAAAATGCTGCTTAAGTACCGTTGTTGTTCTTAAAATACAAAGTAAAGCAAACCAAATGGTCCAGTCTAACATAGTGTTTACTTTGTTGATGTTTTTGGATGTTCAACAAGGGTGTCCAACATGCACATGAAAACACGTTTGAAGGATTCATGCTTCTTAATTTGGTTTATATTAGAACTAGTTATGATTGCCAACTCTATTATTTTGATAAAAATAAAGCTAGGCAACATGCACATGAAAACACGTTTGAAGTATTCATGCTTCTTACGTTGGTTTATATTAGAGCTAAGTTTGATTGCCAACTCTATTATTTTGATAAAAATAAAGCTAGGC